GAAATATTGTATGCCATATCATCCCCTTAAATATCTGTAATATGCATTAGTATGTTAAATAGTTGTATTAGCCCTACAGTCAAGCATATCATAAGCTTATTTGATCTGAGAAATTTTTTTGATATAACAACCCTTTAACATGCTGTGGAACATACAGTTCCAGAACTGTTTCCATCTTGAAGGAATCTGGTACTAGAAGGATAGTAACAGTAGAGATCCAGACTTTAATTTAGTGTCAGAGCCCACACTGTACACTTTCACACCAGGGTTGTGGAAGAGTTTGGAAAAGAAATTCTTAGAGAGAGACCTATTCCTCCACTTGTAGTACATTAAGTTATTGGTCTCAATTCTTTCCCCCTACCCTCACCAAGTCATAGTATTTATTATATATATATCCTCGTCCTGGTCACTCTCTTGGCCCTTGACATGAGGCTTGGCCTTGTGACTTGCTTTGAACAATGCAGTGTTAGTGGATCTGAAATGCACAAGGCTACAGTCTTTTCTGTGAGAAAAACCTGTCTCACATAGCCGCTGTTACAAGACCTAGTTAAACTGGAGTTAACTATCATCTTAGACCCTTAGACCAAAGCCTACCTGGACATAACCTAGATTGGTCAAACTTAGACAACCTGCAGTTACGTGGATAAGATATAATTGCAAATTATAGGTGTGTGCCAGTGAGTTTGGAACTGGTTTGTTTCACTGTGATTTCATGGCAATTGCTAACTTGTATACTACTCCATAGAAGTTTGCGCCAACATAATTAATACTGCTATCAATGTCCATGATAAATGAAAGAGAAATCAAGTGAATAGAAGTGAAATCAAGTGATGTATCATAGGGCAATGATTGGTGAATTATTGGGTTTTTATTTCCTTTAATTCTTAAGTTCTTAAAAAATATGTCCTATTTAAAGCATTTAATTTTTTGATATCTGACTTCTCTTGGTATGGTTATCCCAACATTTCCAAAAAAAAAAAAAAAAAAAATACCCACCTGAACAGCCAGCTTTTCCTACTTAAACAAAATTTGGCTATGAAAAACATTTAAATAGCATGACAATCAATTGGAAAATAAAGAAATATGCAGTTTATATGTTAAGACAAAAAGTCCCACAAAATCCCAATTATTATCAAATTCCCTCAAGAAACTAATTTTAATTTTACTGCTGTTCAGCAAAGGGGATGAGAGAATGAGTGGACCAGAAACTCCCCAGGCTAGGAAAATGGTAGTTCGGGCTAGCAATCCTTGCCCACACGGCTGCTCAGTGCTCCTAGCCAAGACTTACACCGCTGGACCCCAGACAAGGACACCTGTGTTCTTGACAAGAACTGTGCTCCCTTACCCACTATAGCACCTCCACCATCTGTTCTTTTTCTCATTCGTAGGCACCATTTAGCCATTCTCTCCATTTCTGCATGTTCTAGCCTCCTCTGCTTCTTGAATTAGCCAACTCTCCTTGTATAAAATGGGTGAATGCAGAAATTAACTGATTAATGTATGTAAAATTCCTCACCCGGTTGCTCAATAAATGTTGCCTATCTCTCTTTGTTCCTGACTATTCTACCTAGCCTATTATTTTCTTAATGATAGTAACGTGAGCTATTATAAGTTATATAGATATATAGCTATAGACCACTCAGTATATGAATATGAATGGAGTGGTCATAAACAAGAAATTAGTGTTAATAATAGCTGCTGGGATTCACATTGATCCTTCTAGGATTTGACTATGACTAACAGTAATGGCCAACTGAGGAGCACACTACCTAAAGAACAAAGGACCTAGAAGAGGATGAGATCCAGATCTGGTTTTGAATCTTAGCTCTAGAAATTACTGTCTGATAAGTTACTACCCTCTCTTAAACCCAATTTCCACATCTGCAAATTGAAAGTAATGATATTTAAGAAGATACCATCTAAAGGATATCTAATGGGATACTATATTTAAAAGGCTTAGCACAATGCCAAACACATATCAGCACTCAGTAAAACCTTGCTATTGTAACTATAATACAAGAGCTAAGTTTGTATGTGATAATGTATTTACTTTTAATACAAATAACTACCATAAAATAAGTGTGTGATTAGCATTATCTACATTTTAAAATCACTACCTTTACGACCTGATATGCAGGGACAAGAAGAAAGATATATTGTATTAATTTATTTCACTCCTGCCACATTTCTGATCTGCTTTACACATCAGATAGCTGGAGTTTAGGGGTATCCTGGAGAAAAAAACTGAAGGTTAATGTGTGTCATCTACATGCTTCAGAAAATAAGAAAATTACTGGCTGATCATATCAAGGTGAAACATGGGAATGAACCCACTGTGGCCACACCTCTATTTGAAGGCTACCTGGGGGGAAAAAAAAAAAGACTGAAGCACAGCCATTTTAACAAATAGGAGTGGGAGTGATTAATTACTTTTTACTGTCATTCAACAGCTTGTCACCCAGGTAGTAACCTCATTTCTTCAATTCCCATAAATTTAATAGAGGTCACATCATGGCCTACTTGGCTGAAAAGCATTGCTTCTGAAACCCTGATGGTACTTTTAAGTCCACTGATGTGTGAACATAATTCTCTGCATCTCTTAGCTTCACATACTCTGTCTCTCCCATGGAGACACTTTAGTAGATCTATGTGGCACCACGTAGAAAGTTACAAGTAGTGAGCTCTCTGATTCATTCCTCTTTCATGCAACAAGATGATAGAAAACTTAATACCAATGGGTGTTATTCTACAGTGTAGAGCTTCTTTCCATTCTGTTAAGAGAATATAAAAAGATATTTATTGCAATTGAAAACTACTAGTTATGAGGACCTTTCACTCAGAACATTTAATTTAGTTTCTAGAAAGAAATTTTAAACATCACATTAAAACATTTACAGGTAAGAATAGTTTAGATGTTGTGCCTAATTCTTACCCCACCGCATACATTAGCCCACATAAAGAAAATACGAAAAGTAGGATAACTGCAAAGAGATGTCAAACACCAGACTGAATTTCCAAAAAACAAAGCTCCAGGGAAGAACAGATAATAAAAATTAGATTGTTACCTATATCTATTGCATGCCCAAAACAGAGACACAGGCCTTCTGCAACTAGAATTGTAGCAGTCCCCAACTTTATTCAAAAACTCATTTCTGGGGCTCTCAGTACTATTTCATCCCCAACTAACCCCACTACTAATACCTCTCTTTTTCTATCTATACATAAAATGTTAATTCCTTTAACATTTAAGCAATGAAAATTGATAAGCAGCAGATAATCCATAAATGATGAAATATTAATGACTAGCAAATATTAAAAAAAAAAGTCTAATCTTACAAGTAACTAACAAATCAAGTGTAAAGTTTTAAAGAATAATAATAAGCCCAAACTTTCTTAAATAGCTTTTGGCAAAAGAGATGGAAATAAAAGCTATGAATATTTTATTCAGTAAAATACAGATGCATACAATGTACTTAAAAGGAAAACTAAAATAAATGAGTTAAGTATTCAACTAAAGGTATTAGTTGAAGATCTACAGAAAAAAATAACCCTAAAGAAAGAATGAGGCAAAAGAAAAACATAATAACAAGGCCAGCATAAAAAACAAAAGACTAGTGAGTTAGAAAGCATGATGGCAGAATTAATAAATTAACCTGAGAGCTTGTTGTTTTTAGGGAAAACAAAATAATCAAACTAACAATTTTAGTGAATTTGCTATTGAAATTTCATTTAATATCTAGCTTCTCATCAAAACAACTACTACACATATATGGGTTTTCACTGCATTTTCCCTTTAACCTTATGCTTTTAATTTGCCCATGCTTCATTCAAAAATATTTTAGGCTTCACTTTGAAATAAAAAATTAACACCTAATATTATTTTTCATAATTCAAATTCTTCTCACTGATATACTGTATCAGATATGTAGTTTAAAAGTTTCTATTTCCTTATCTACATATTTCATCAAAGACAATGTATACTTTTAGACAAATATAACTTGAGCAAAGTCATTCTTCCTACATTCAAATGCATTTTACCACATTAAAATCTTTCATCTTCTGGAAAATTAGCTTCTTAGCCTTTACAAACATCTGCATAGAAATTTAAAAATTTAGTAAAATATCTGGACTTTTTTTACAATCCTTTTATCAGTATTTTGTCTACACTTACCTTTAAGCCTACCTTTAAATTCAACATATTCTATAAATATTTGCTTTATAACAAAGCTTATTTCAAAGATGTACCCTTTGGCAAAAACAAATAAGTAATATTTGATAAAATCAAGAAACTTCTCTATCTTATAATACTTGATTGATAAACAAGGTTACCACAAATATATATATAAAGCCTACCCAGCAGGCTGCCTGTTTTCCATTTTAATGTGAATTGAAAAATTATCTTTGTCTTTCAGTGTTGTCTTACAGTTTGGTCTCATGAAGTGTTCACTTTAGTACTTTAAGATGGATTATTTTTATTTCTTTTCTGGCCTTGACTCTCATAGAAATAGAAAATATTGCAGACATTAGAAAATAAGGCGTTTATTCTTCACTTTGTTTTGGTGTTCATAAACAAAGCCTTTAATATAATTAAATCTGAAGGTTGACTTCCTGTTGCTATGTAGGGTCTCAATGTCCTCCCGGAAGCTACCCCCGACTACTCCCTAACTGGCCCACTGTCCACATTGAGTGTGCCTGAGAAAGGAAGCTTGTCCTTCCCACCACATTAAAGAGGAACACAGGCAGGAAGGGACCAAGGATATGTACAATGTGTGGCTTGTTTCTTTGTTTGTTTCTATAAAATTTTATATGAGGAGTCCAAGAGGATTGGATATTTAAGACATAAAAAAATAATGTTGATTGTATTTAGAAGATAAAATCAATCAAGAAGATCGAGAAGTTTAATACTGTGACATACTAACAAACAATTTTAGTTTTCTACTCATTTTGTTTCTTACTGATTTGGGCTTTAAAAAGAGCTATGCTATCCAAGAAAAAAATTTTTAAATATGGAATGCTTCACAAATTTGGGTGTCATTCTTGCACCATGGCCATGATGATATTCTCTGTATCATTCCAGTTTTAATATATGTGCAGCCAAAGCAAGCGCCAAAATATTTTTGTGTGTGTGAAAAACGTTCTGTCGAGGTAGTTCTGGGTCCTGTGGGGTCAGATTGGTAGAAGAGCAGAGATGCTCTCTCAAGCTGCCATGTTCCAGTTACAATACTTTCTTAAATTATATTTTAAGGCCTGTTTACAGCCACATTGACAATTGTAAGGTAGGAATTCAGAAGTTATTACTAAATCTGTGTTATATGTTTGTCTCCTTGCTATCCAATTTTATCAGGTTATCTTTATGAAGCATCCAAAGTTAGCATTGACTGAGGTTTTCTGTTGTACTTTCCCCAAGTAGTGTCTGCTTTATTCTTCAAAATAATTGAAAAAAAATGTTTTATAATATGTACTCTGACAGTCCTTATCAGAATAACGGTTGAATCTTTAAAAATGTGTTGGAGGAGATGCAATCTTTACACTTGATCACATATATGTAGTTGTTACAGAGTGAGAGAAAATAGGTCCTATAGCCAAAGAGCTCTCATAACTAATAAGAAAAAGATTAAAATAATAGACAAGAAGTAGAAAACAAGAATGTGCATTAAGCAAAAAAGCTGAAATTTATGAAAAAGTTCTATCTAATATACATTAAATATAAAGGCAGTAATTTTTGCCTGGTAATTAGGTGTAAATACTCAATAAATATTTATTGACCAAATAAATGGAGTAACATTTCTCACCCATCAAGTTAGAAAACAGTTTAAAAAATAATTTGAGTTCTCATAATTCACAGGCTATCAGCAAAAGATAATATAATTAGGTAACTACCAATTCAAACTAGGGATGTTAAACATCTAGAATCTAGATTCTCTTTCAGCTTATAGTTTTTTAATAAAATTAAGAAGAGGAATACATTTTAAAACAGAATATAGCCATTCTCAACCAAATTGCACTTAAAAAAATAACTGCCAATAATCTTACTGTAAATAGCAAGCCAATATTGACTTAATCTATAAAAGAAAATTTAAGCTGTATCACTTAAATGAATAGAACTTAGGATAAAAGAAATTTTATATTAAGGTATATATAGACAGATAGGTATTAACTTTAAATATTAGTATCCCCAGTGAGAAAATTTCCCCCAGTATATAATAGATGGAGATAGAAAAGAGCAAAGATGTAGATATCCTAAGGTCACTAAACAGAAGTGAGGGTGCTTCTCCTTCCCCCATCAAACTTGATTCCAAGGAGCAGTAGGAAATTCTGTGGGGGAAAGAAGTGCTGATCTACCCTTGTCATATTACTGACACTTCTTAATGTTTGGGGTTCTCCAAAAAAATTACTATTTTTTCTCTACAGTTTATCCATAGTGCTCAGAAACCATTGACTTCCGGGAATTTTTATTAAGATTTCCACAGTCTTGCCATGTTTTTCAGATATTGTGGTCTCTGCCAATAAATTCTAATAAATTTTTACTTCTTTTCTTTCAGTAACATTCTAGAGAATATGATTCAGACTCAAATTAATCACCGATCATTTTAATGGCTCCTAGGAGTTTACTTCCGATACCTCTTATTATATTAAATCAAACTTGATAGTGTGCTAGATCATTGCTCAGCTGGGTTTTCATAAAAGCACTGGTATTTAATATGATTTACACCTGGTTTTCTGTTAATATCTTTGCTTATTGTGTGCTTTATTGTTAAAACAGACATTCCTAGCAAATGGTTCTTATTTAAAATATACCATGCTACTAAAATATTTTACAGGAAGCATTTTACAGTAAAATGTTACTTATAGTCACATAATAGTGAACAGAAACAATTTATTTAATTTACAATCAAAATATTAATACCTATAATTTGGTAAAAGTATGTATATATATATATATACATTTTGATTATTTAAAGTATAAGTTATATCCCAAGATTATTAGGATATTTAAAGTATTGTATTTTTTTTTTAAGCTTTGCAGCAAAGGGGCAGCTCTGGGAAAACCATTTGAAGCATCTGCTGGAGATATAGCAAGTGTGGCAAGTTTTATCGAGACCAAGCTTGTTATATGCTATCTACGGATGAGGAAACCTGACCTTGCCTTGAATCATGCACACAGGTAAAACAAAATATTAATAACCACAAGAAGTGCTCTCTATGCAAGCAGAGGACATTATGTGAACCTGTATTATCAATTTCTGTTCCACTTAAATTTAAAAACAAAACAAAAACACATTTATTCATTCCTTGATTTATGTTAAACTAGGCAGTTAGAGAGACCACGAAGAGCACCTCAAAATGTAATGAAAGAAATAGACACAAACACCTAGTTCATAATGCAAGGTGAAATAAAAAGGCAAGTGCCTGTAGTAGCAAATTACTGAAGGAAGAAAGGAGGGAGCAAATAAGGTAAGTAAGGGAAGTGATACTCTTGAGAGGATTTCCAAAATTGCACAAAATATGGAGAACCGTGGAAGGGAATTCCAACTGTGAAGTGTGAACAAAGACTTGAAAGTTTGTTGCTTATTTTGGGTGATAGCATAGCTACTCAAAGGATGTTATGTGGGCACAAGAGCTGTCCAAAGGCATGAAACACTTCTTATCTATGTCCTTAAAAACTCATTTTTCATATTTCTATTACTCTTCAGAACTCTGTATTTTTACATTATCTTGTGACTTTCCAGAATCCCCAGGCCTCTTTTTTTCTATAAAAATATTCCTCTTTTATGGCCTGTTTCTTAAAAGCCTTGTTCTTCTTCTCATAGGTAATAATCAGTTTAATCTACAGCAAAGAAAAAATGATTCTGTTATGCCTTTCAAATAACTCTTTCCTTAGAATTATGATGTGTCTATCCTTCCCTGTCTGACTTAGAATAATTTACCTAGAATATTTGTCTGGTCCATTCTCTGATCTTACAGCCTGTATTCTTTTGGATACAAACAGCAAAACTAATACCAATGTGAAAGAAAAAATGCCTGCCCTGTTAATAACCACTAGGAAATATAACTATCAGTCATATTATGACCTTTTATGTAAGCAGGACACCTGCCACTATAGGAAAAGTCATTTAAAACCCCACATCCATGAGGATGTGAAAGTTCTTACCCAAGATTCTTCACACCCCTAAGGAGACCCCAAGCTTGCAGGCTTAAGATTGACATGAAAGATCAGCAGGTAGCAAAATCACTTTGAAATTCACAAGATAACCTGCCCTGAGAGAAATTTTCCTGCTTAAAAAAAAACAAAAATGACAGAACCTAAGACAGATCCTCTTTGACACTGAAAGAAAATTCAACTCTCTATATTTTCTGGAAACGTTTTATGCAACCACAGTTTCCAAACCCAGTATCAGGACATATGGTTTGTCCAAGAATTATATTACATTTCCATTTAAAAAGAACCAATATTGGAAATATAATGTGTATTTTACTATGTCAAAGTATTGGAATTTCTGAGCTACTTCAGTGACTTGCAAGCATATTGGGAAAAATATTTGAAATTAGGACTAGCTCAGGAAAATCTATGGGCATATGTAAACAATAATGAATTGAAATGCACTAAAAGTAATTATATATCACCTTCTTCATGGCTTTCACTACACATAAAGAGGTCCACCTATATAGCCTACACTTTACGAAAAATATCTTCTGAATATTCAAAAAAACGTAATGAATTTTTGAACCCCTTATAATAATAAAAGTGCTCCATTTGGTATGGTCAAGTCAAAATCTTATTCAGTGTTTTAAAAATAAAAAATGAACGTGATGAAAAATTTCACTAAAATCCAAATATATAAGAAACAGTTAAATGCTACAGTTCCTGAGGATGCAAGGATTACCTCCTATAAATTCACTATTTGGACTTTAAAACTTTTGTTTTAAAACTGAGTGCTCTTTCAAGACCTTGAAAATTGCTGAACGAAGAATAGATAATGGTGTCTAATAAAGTGGTATTCCCTATATGCTAGAATTGACATTTGTGTCTTTTTGCTATTGTCAATTTTTGCTTTGTTTCTAAACTGAACATTAAATAAGAAATGAAAATCAATAGAGGTTAAATAGTCGATTCATACAATTAATAATGCACCAAGTGAAATAAATCATTTTGCTGGGCTTGTACATTGCAGAAGTAAGTGTATATGTTTCTAATATTAAAATGTTTTCACAGATCTCAGATTTAAAAGCAGACATTGAAATACAATCAATAAATATATTTCTTAATTAATTAATTAATTAATCAGGATACTCAATCTATAAATAGCTTACAACCATTGGTAATACTCTGAATGCAAAATTTTGCTTTTGTATTATTAACACATTGTGATGATTGATACTAATCATGGATCAAAATTAAAATATTCCTTTTCTGCATTTATTTGCATTTGCTGAAGCATCCTTTCTTTAATTTTATGTAAATGTGAAGTCTACTGCATATATTTCAGAGATTTGTTAACACAAAAATTATCTTAAAACCATCAAGTAGTTTTGTTTCTGATAAAAATAAGTGCATGCTGTTTTGTTAGGTCAAAGACTATGAGAATCAGAACTTTACAGTTTAAAGTTCAACAAAGGTACATTTAAAAATACCTAGCTGAGTATTGCCATTTAAAATATAATAATGATACATAGTCTCTAGAAATAATTATTAACAAAAATAGTTTTTTTCTAATAACATATTTAAAGTGGCAAATGTGGACATCATTTTTTTTTTACTTCAATCAAAAGTGATGCCTCAATTCATCAGTCAAACATATCAAATCTGTGCTCACTTCATCAAACTAGTGTCATCGTTTATCAGTAGGTGTTTTGAAAACTCCTAGGACTGATTTCTAATTATTGCTCTCTTATCAAGAGTAGAATTATATTTTGATGTATATGATTGTAAGGATTCTAATGATACATGTCACTTTTTTGCATATTTCTTACCTTTAGATTTTGGTTTGTTTTTGTTGCAGAATCTTGATGCCACAAAATGGCAAGCAAGATGAAGTGGAAGTACCAAATACATGGAAAATATTCTGTTTTCAAAATCATTTTATAGGTGCCATCTACATTCATTCA